TTCATCCATTCATACCCTATAAAGATATCTATTTCCTCACATCATCCTAATGGTGCATTACTGAACACAAATGTTTTGAGCTGGGGACTGTAAAGATGGCTTGGTGATTAGGAGCACATGGGTACTGTTCTTGTGGAAGACCCGGGTTTGATTTCCAGCACCTACATTGAAAGGCTCGTAACCGCTTAAAACTCTGGCTCTAGGCAATCCAAAGCCATCTTCTGGCTTTCATGGCCACTGGAACTCTTGTTCCCCGAACATGCACAAAAATTAAAAATAAAATAAAGCTTGAAAATAAGATTGGGACAATGCAAAGGAGGAGGTAGCTTAGTATTTCTTGTCTTAGGTACTATTAATGTTTTCTTCTCAGTGGTGTATATGTTTCACTTTTCTCAATTACTTGTATGTATATATTAGTAGCTCACTGTTCTATTGCATTTCTTTTTATTACTGGTGCCTAAATATTCTGAAATCTATGCATCTATTTGTCACTGTTGTCAGCAAGTGCTTTCAAGTCTGGAACTTGAGTTTCATCTTCATCCTTGGCGTCCTTTCTTGAGTATGCTTTTACTTTAACAGCCATTTCCTTTATAATTTTCTTTTATTATGTAAGAAAGTCTTCTTATTCTAAGACCATGTAATAAAATTCTGTTTTTGCAAAGTTCTTATTATTCTGTCATCTTATTTGCAATGGGTTTAAATGTTTTAAAATGTATTATTTATGATTATGAGCTAGAGATTTGATATTTTTTGATATAAAGGATCTGTTGTGCCAGCTTTGTTGATTGTCCATTCTTTCTTCTTTCTTTCTTTCTTTTTTTTTTTTTTTTGTAAAAAAACTTTTTATTGTTTCTTGTTGAGTTTCACATCATGCATCCTAGTCCTACACATTTCTCCATTTCCTCATATCTGCCCATCGCCCTTGGAGCCTCCCCTCCAACCCCCCCCCCCCAAACAACATAAAAAAAGCCAAGCAGAGAAAACATCTCAGTGTGGAAGCTGTAGTGTGTCACAATGTGTCCCATAGTATAGTCCTCTGTCTACACATCTTCACTTGCAAATGTTCATTGCAATGAGTCTTTACTCTGGTTTCAGATTTCTGTCTTCTGTGACACCATTAATATTGGATCCTCACCGGAACTCCTCCCAGTTATGCTGTTGTTGCCCTGGGTCATGGAGATCCTGAAGCTTTGGAACTGCAGGACCGGCCCTTTCACACCATTCACGGATGACATAGATTTTGAAGTAGGCCAACTCAAAGCTCTGGACCTGGGTCTGGGTGGTAGCTGAGCTGGTCAGTACACTGCCTCTCCCTTAACTGCACCACCATGGCTATCTCTCCAGCTAAGCCAACCAATGCTGCCATTGGCAGGAGGCAGGGTCAGCTTTCCTGCTCCCATGCCCTGGGGGCCAGCCTCCATAGTCAGCTTCATTGACTGTACTGCCAGTCAAAGTTGGGGGCCCCATCACCCAAGTGTTGCAGCCAGTGAGGGGCTGGGAGAGCTCTTCTGCTCTCACAGCCTTGGGACTGCCTTTGAATGAACGGCCAGCTCCACTGTGTTGCCCAGGTGAGATGCAGGACCCGACTGCTACAAGGAACAGGGCCAGCTCTCCTAACTACTGTGGGAGGAGGAGGGCATCACCACCATACCCACGACACCTCATGGTAGGTGGGTAGTGGTGCCAGCTCTCTCATGGTCTTGCCCTTGGGGCTGGCTCACCTGTGAACCCTCTACCTGGGAAAGCTCTACTGTGCTGCCCAGGAGAGGTAAAGGGCCCTCTCTGCAGCTGGTGAGGCAGCACAGGTTGCCAGAGCACTGCAGCCAGTGAGGGGTGGGGCCAGTTTTGCATAGCTCCTGGACATCCATGTGGTCCCCAGTGGCTGCCATGACCAGGGGTGTCCCCATGTTCTCTAGTGGCAATATGAGTCAAGGACATTGACACTGACCCCTGCCACTGTGTAGCCACCGTCTCAGACATGGCTCTCAGTGGCAGCTTGGGCTGGGACTTCGCCATAGCCCCAGGTGGTGGGGCTGGCCACTGACAGTAGGCTATTCCTCTCCACCCCTGAGCCTCCGGTTCCATCTTGTTTCATAATGTTCAAGCTGCTCCACTTCTCTCTCCAGTCTGACCACCACATACTTGCACACTGTGGTGGCTCCCACTGCAGGCTGGGCATGTGGCTGGTGGGCTCCTGGGTGACAGCTCTGGAAAGTAGGTGTCTATGGTCTGACTGTGCTGTGCGCTGGAGGGCAGGTCTATGGGTGGCATGGTGGCCCAGAGGTCTCTGTCCTCCTCCGGTGCTGTGCTTTGTGGTAGTAGGTGGGGCTCTGTGTGTCTATGGCCCACTCATGTATGCGGTGGGGCAGAGGATAGGTCTGAGGGCCTCTTTTCTTGCCTGCACCTCATGGCATGGTGGGATGCAGGTCTCTGTCTTCCTTTCATGCTGCACTGCCTGGATTTTATTTTAATTTTTTTATGCATCCTAGGCATTAAACATCTTTGGCCACCAAGCCAGCCATCAAGCTAGGATGAACAGAGGACTGCCATCTGCTCTACCCCTGACTGATCTAAGAACAGCACCACCAACAAGGTGTCTCCTTTGTCCATTGCCAGGGGTGTGATGATCCATTCTTAGAAGTGCTGGTTATTGTGCACTGAGAGAGAGGCTCTAGAAGGCTCTCTATGCCTTTCCTTGTCTATCTGTGTCTTTATGAAAGGTTGTTGTATTAACCCCATGTGCTGGATAGTTTTATGTCAACTTTACTCAAGCTAATGTCATCTAAGAGGAGGGAGCCTCGTTGAGAAAATGATCTGGCCGTATAAAAGCCTGTAGGACATTTTCTTCATTTGTAATTTATGTGGGAGGTCTCAGCCCATGGTGGGTGGTGCTGCCCCTGTGCTGTTGGTCCTGGGTTCTGTACAAAAGCAGGATGAACATGCTATGGGGAGCAGCAGTCCAGTAAGTCGTACTCTTCCACGGGCTCTGAATCAGCCTCTGCTTCCAGATTCCCGCCCTGTTTCAGTTTCTGCCCTGACTTCCCTCGGTGATGGACTGTTCCCTGGAAGTGTAAACCAAATCAACCCTTTCCTCCCCAAGCTGCTTTGGTGATGGTGTTTCATCACAGTGATAGTAACCCTAGTCAGAACACTCCCCTTTACAGGCAGGGAACCAGAAGCTCAGCAAGACGGAGGGCAGCAAGGAAGTGGTGGTACCTTGCACCACGGGTGACGCACAACACAGCGCCAGCAGGTTCTCGTGGATGCTCGGGGAGGCGGAAACAGGTGGGCAGTTCAGTCTTGTCTTGCTGACCTTTCAGGCTGGGCGGATCTTTGCGTGGTTGTGGGAGCTCCCTACCACACACCAGAGGCATCTGGCTGCCCTCCTCCCCAGCCCCAGCCCCTCCCTGCCATAGTAAAACATGCTGCCAGACATTGTTAAATGTCTCCGGGGGAGCAGAGTTTCCTCGTTAAGTGCCACTCATTTAAATAATATGAACTGCTATGAATTCTTGCTATCAATTATTAATACCACTAATGCGGGTGGGAGAGATGCTGGTTACGAGGCAAGATCAATCACGCAGTTCTTCTGGTGCCATGGCCTCTGTCCCCTTTTAGTCATGTCTTCTCTGTAGCCATTGATTTCTTCCTACCCGAGTCTCCTCAGCCTGCCACAGAGAAGCCCCGTTTGCCGTCTGCCACCCACGCCGGGCAACATGTGCAGAAAATATTTTCAGTTTTGTTGACAACGCATAAGAGTGGAAAAATAAAGCCCCGCTGATGTCAGATGATTTCTAAATGCAGATGTGGTGGTGGGAAGCTTTCCACATTCATGACACAAATTCATTGGGAACACATCTGGCACCCCCAGCGCAGAGTCTGACAGCTCTGTAGACAGAGATGACCATGGAGTGATCAAGACCCCTTGGCTCCCACATCATCCAGGGTTGATAAAGGTGACATCCAGTTTCAAATTCCAGAGGCTGAGCAAGATCTAGTCTGGTTTAGGACACTGTCACTTGCCTGGCCGATTGAGAGTGAAAATAATTAGAGTGAGTCTCTTTACTCCTATAATGGGAGATGGACGCGCTTGCCCCTCCAGAGTGGCCCAGCTCCAGGGATCCCTTTGAGAGTCCCTCAGTTAGCCTCAGCTTCTTCTCTGGACAGGAGGCTTATTGAGAAAACTTGCTTTGCCCAATATGATGTTGGGAGCCTTGATGTTGCTGCGTCTCCTCACTCTCTAAGTGTTCCCATCAGGCGAACAATGTGGCACATTCTTGGGCAGCATAAGCAAGGTTTAGCAACTACTTCTTTGTTCTGTGGTCCCAGAGATTTGAACCTGGAGCATCACACATGTTGAACCAGTGCTTTACCACTGAGATGTACTTCCAGCCTATTATGGTCTTTTTTTTTTTAATAAGGCTCATCCGAACCTACCAGGTTCCATTGTCACCTACCCCACTTCTTGATTCCCTTAGCTCACCCTCCGGTCCTGTGGAATAGACTGAGAGCATCAACAAATCTGGGCCTCCTTAAAAAAATCTGGGGCAGCCCTGAGTTACCTTCTTATTTTCTGAGGTCCCTTTTTTCTGATGCAGGTATGGGAGGCCTCTCCAAATAAGGCCATCGGGGAACTGGGCTCAGACAACAATGGGAAAGCATCCTGGCTAAGGGGGACAGTGGTTGTCACTTCCCTGTGCCCTATCTGTGTTCACTGGGTTCTCGCTGTCAGGACAGGTACATCCAGACACAGAAGCAGAGAAAGGTGGTGCAGCAGCTACCTCCTGCTGAGGACACAGAGTCCCATTTCGGGCTGGCAGTAACACAATGTCCCACCATCCTGTTCAATATTCAGTGGGGTGTCCCTTCTGTTGGCCCTGCCTACATAAACAGTTACCAGGGAAGGTGAGGAGCAGGGAAAACAGCGAGGCGGCATCAGTAGAGACAGCCTGGGAGGGAAGGGCCAACGCTCGTTGAGGCTGACTTCAGGCACCGCTACCATGGATGGCCTGTTACAGGGTATCTGTGTCCTCTGCTTGTTGAACCTGTGGGGAGAAGTAAGTAGCCAACTCAGACCTCCTCCTCTGTTCTTCTCCAGCTGGGTAGTGGCAGTCTGTGGCTGGGGAACTCCAGAGTCTGGTGGTTCCTTCCTTCCTTAGATCCCTTGAGCTGTCTCTTTGTTCCCTCATCCAGGTCCTATCTGAGTCCTCTGGGTGCCCCAGAGACACTTTTCCTGAGACTCTGTCTTGAAATAGCTGAGGCCACATATGGCCTCCCTGTCGCGCTAGAGCCTGTACACCCCAGGCTACCACCTAGCCAATGCTGTCCTGTCTCCTGTCTCCTTCGTCATCTCCAGCATGGCTGCTTCCTGGAAGGGAGTGTGGCCAGGGACCCTATGGGGCCCGAGGAGGTAGTGGATACCAGCTCTTCCAGCTGTGGCATTTAGGAGCTCTTCCTTTTATGGAGCCAGGGATGGAGAAGCTTCAGAAACCAGCTACTGCCACTTAGCCTGTGCGGTGGGATGTGGGAAAGCCAAGAGAGGAGGCTTCTCTGAATGTGCTGCAGACTTTCTGGGTCACTAATAATAGTATGAAGGGCCAGGAAGGCAGTAGCCACAAGGGTACCTTCTTCTATTGCCTTGCCAGGGTGACCACCTTCTTAGCACCTCACTGCCCTTCACTCAATAAGCTGGCGTCTGCAGACTATAAAGGGAACTTCATTTGCCTCTGTCTAAAAAGAGAATCATGAGTGAGGTGTGGTGGCTCAGAGCTGTAGTGTCAGGAGGCTCAGAGCTCTGTAGTGTCAGAGCTTGTAGAGGCAGGAGGATTATCATGACTTTGAGGTTATTCTGACCTACACAGAGAATCATAGGCCAGCCTGCATAGTGCCACCATGCCTCAGGGAGGGGGTAGGGAATGAATGATTTGACCTGGCAAAGGCTGGCATGTGAGTGCCATGCGGGTAAATTCCATGAGTCCCTTTATGGCCCAAAGGACTCATATTCTCTTGCATATTCACAGCACCATAAAAACTTCATTTAGAAAGAATGACCCTAGACCAGGGGGTCATTCAGCAGCTGGTGTAGCTGCCAAGTTCAGGACTAGAGATGACCACTGCCTCCCAAACCTTGAGGTGAGAAGCTGGTCAGGTCAGGGAAAGACGCGCACGCCCACAGGCAAAGTGTGCATGCGAGTGTGTGTGTGTGTGTGTGTGTGTGTGTGTGTGTGTGTGTTTGTGTGTGTGTCATATGTGCATGGATCTTGCAAGGGCATTTGAGAAAATCTTGAGAGATGTTAGGAATTCTATGTCTCTAAAGAAAAGGTCAAACACCAAACCTTAGACCCAACCAAAGACTGCCTAGCCTTGAGCACTTGGGTGCCAGATGGCCTCTGAATCACCCTTTAAAAAGAAAGAGATGTCCACAAAGACTTAGAGAACATTTTTTTTTTGTGGCTCCTGGGCTCTAGGAAGTACCCCAATCTACAATCTTTGTGATTGCCAAGCCACACATGAAGGCAGTTTCCTTCTATCCATCTAACGATGAACTCAGTCACCATGATACAGGTCCCTCCCCATCCACACCCCCATGCATCCTCGTGTGACCATCTTCCCCTGTCTTATTGTCTCTGTGTCTATGGGAACACTCATCCACTCCAACAGCCATACGGCTAGGCCTCCCTTCCAGTTCGTCCTTCCTGTTCATTGCTCCTTTACCTCACTCAGGTGCTATCACCTTCTCACTCTCTCATCCATCCATATCCTCTCCCAGTTACTACTCTATATATTTGCTCAGCTAACTTGCCTGAGACATAGCAGAAGCCACACACATTTTTCATCTGGCTAAACCCAAATGGTTGGCAGGACTGTGGTCCTTCTGCAGTCTCCTACTCTGGCCTGAGGCAGTTCTTCATCTTCAGCAAGTGCCATATCTTTTTTTCTCACCACTTCCCACCATCTCCTCTCTGATTTGATCCCTCTGCCCACCTTGTGATGACTCTGTGTCCACTCAGATAATCAAGGACATCTTTCTACCTACGGCTCCTTGATCATACCTGCTAAGTGTCAAGTGACTGTGTCAAGTGACACACTCACTGACTTTGGGGACTGGGACATGGTCTTTGGGGACCATTGTTTTGCCTACAGGGTTGTTTAGGCAGAAACACTTCCAGGGCCCAGAAGTATAGAGTGTGGGGTGGGAGGCAGGGAAAGGAAAGGCCATGTCAAGGACTGCATTGTCATAGCTATGGGATATCTAGATAGCTTTTTTTTAACATGTCTCAGAATTCACTGCCCATTAGATGGAAAAGTGTATCTGTCCCTCTCTTCTTTCCTAACCCTTCTACCTCTCTTCCTGTTCTTTCCTCCTTTCTTCTTTCCCCTCTTTCTTCTGATCTCTTTCCTTTCCCTCTTTTCTCCCTCCCTTCACCCCTTCCTCCTTCCTGAACATTCCCCCTCTATTCCGCAGTTCTCATCAAACATACCTTGACATCTGTGGGGCAGATGGGTCTTTCTCAGAATCTGGGCACAGAAATGCATCAATCTTGCTCTCCATCTTCAGGTCACCAGGGCTAGAAAGTGTGCCACCCCTCACAGGTCTTGGCTCACCGTGTCACTGTCTCCCGTAGGTACTGGGCCACCTTCACTCAGAATGTGACTTCATCACTCAGCTGAGAGAGGACGAGCTTGCATGTCTTCAGGTGGCAGAGGTGACCAACTACACACTGGGTATGAGGGGTGGGGATGACCCTGATGCTGACATCTCCAGCTTGCCCTTTGAATGCTGTATTAGCTTCCTTCATAGTCACCCATGTCTCCTTCTTCTCCACCTAGGCTGCTCTGGGACCTGGGATGGGCTGCTGTGCTGGCCCCCTACAGGCTCTGGCCAGTGGGTCACTCTCCCCTGTCCTGACTTCTTCTCTCACTTCAGCTCAGAGTCAGGTGAGTGGCCTGGGTACGGCAGGGCTGGGGAGAAGGTTCTGGGTTGTACATCACTTATGAGGTGACAGGTGACAGCGAATTTCAGCATCACCTTTCTCTCCTCTAGAGTTATCCTGAAAAAACTTAGTCATATTGAATAATGACCGATAACCAGACACCCAGCGCACGATCAGGGAGAACACTGGGGCAAGGGGCTGGGCATAGCATCTACCCACTGCTCCCTGGCTGTTAGCAGGAGGAGGCACCACATTGGGGAGGATGGAAAGCTCCTCCACCTCCACCCCACCTCCTGGATTTTCTGTCTCTTGTGGGACAGAGGGTGTCTGCTTTCTTCCCTCCTGCCCATTGGATGTAGGGGTCCGTCATTTCACTCTGTGCCCCCCCCCCCCATACTGTTCAACAGAGCTTTCTTGGATACCGGCCACAGACCACACTGGTCTGGAGCCCCAGCCATGGGACAGGAGTACTCTTCTCTCCCTGTATTTAAGAACTTCTTGTGCATACCTCACAGGGGCCCTTGACAGCCAGGGCGCTCCTACCATCTCCTCGGAAAGGGATGAATCCTGTAAACAGAGACTCTTGGTTGCCTCTAGGAACTGTGAAGCGAGACTGTACCATCACTGGCTGGTCTGATCCCTTTCCACCCTACCCAGTGGCCTGCCCTGTGCCCTTGGAACTGATAGCCAAGGAGGTAAGCCACTCCCAACATTGTAGTCATCAGGCGGGCATAGTAATTACAGGAGTCTCCCAGCAGATGGCAGTAAAGTGCCAAGTGAAGATGGCCCTTTAGGGTGACACTTGGCCTGCCTTGCTTTGAGAAGGAAAGCCCAGGGCAGGAGGAGAGCTGTGGTCACTCTCTTCTGGGCCAGCCTTTTCTGTTCTCAGTTTCCAGTGCTGGGGTGGGGGACAGGGCTTTAGTTTTTTCAGAGGAAATGAAGACTGCTGGCTGTGCTAGACAGGACATGCTTGTCTTCTCTAGCCCTGAGCCAGTGGGACAGTATACTGGGTTGTGGAATGGGCACATAAAGAAACTCAAGAATGTGGTAGTTACAGAGACCCCTGTCTCTGGGCAGCATACCCAACCCTGTGCACAGATCATGGTCTTTACAAGTTCTATCCATACTTCCAATCCCATTTTCCTCTGCCCTCAGCCCTGAGAGCAAACACACTGGTGTGCTTATCTTTCAGATGAAGAGACAGGTCAGAGAGGCAGTGTGGGGCAGGGCTGGAGTAGAGGCAATATCTGGCCATACTATATTCCCAGCTCAAACCGATTCAGACACTGGGACCCACATAGCTTTTCTCCTGCCTGCCTGTGGCTGTTCCTGGTGTCTCAGATGTCACCATTACCTGGGATGACAATGTTCTCAAGCTGGTAGCTAGCTAGTGTCAACAGGCACACATTCCTCTTGTGCTTTCGTCACTCTCCAGGTAGTTTCTGTCGGCTCTCCTCATTCCCAGTGTAACTGTGAAGCCTTAGCACCTCCACCTGCCGGCTCAGTGCTTATCTGGGACTTTCTGTGGCATCAGTGACTGGGCGGTCAGTGGAGTTGCAGACCCCATGCTTAATTGCCAAATGCTTCTTCTGCTTCTGTTGTCCCCAGAAATCTTACTTCTCCACAGTGAAGATCATCTACACCACGGGTCATAGCATCTCCATTGTAGCCCTCTTCGTGGCTATTGCCATCCTGGTTGCTCTCAGGTTTGTAGTCCTCACTTGCTCAAGAATTTTCTCTGACTCCCTATTGTCTGAGGACCCAGTCTCTGGTTCTCTGCCTAGATAACCAAGAAGGGCTCAGATCTAGGCGAGATGACTTTTGGGAACTTCTTGCCTTTCCCCCCACATGTGGGCCCTCTCTTCGCACATCAGACCTCTGTTCTGTGGCTGCACCTTTGCTCATTTAGCCCTCATTCTGTTTGTTTCCAGTGCCTTTTTTCTTGATAGTGTGTTCATCCCCACCAACACTGGAAGCCCAGCTCTCATGGGGTTCTAAGAATCCTCCTTGCCCCCTGCATGGTGCTCTTTTAATGGTTGTGACTTTCTGACCATTACAGCACTTTTTTTTGTTTAGTTTTCAGTACTGGGGATTATTGAACCCAGGGCACCCTGCATGGACTCCACCACCATGCTCACCCTTAGCTCTTACTGATGGGTGTAATAGCTTCCCAGCCTTTGAAGGCTGAGTTACCCATAGGGCTATACCTCAGAGTGTAACTCTCTGATCACCCAATGACTGCCCTCAGCTCTTGCTGGACTGTGGCTGCCTCTGTATCTACAGTTACAGAGCTACCTGAAGGTGGCGCTGTAGAGCCCTTGCTCTTTTACCTGAACCTAGCCCAGGAAATGCTGTCCATTTGACCTTCAGAGTCAAACTGACCCATTATGCTAATTTTCTACTCAGTTCATTGGGTTTAACTGTGTTTGATATGGCTTTGGGTGCTCTGCATTGGCTCACCTTCTGTCTAGCACCCCAGCCATGCCTTTTCTAGTCCTGGGAAGCTTTTTTTGCAGCCAGGCCCCTATGTTCATCTCTCTCCTGTCCTTTCCAGGAGGCTCCACTGCCCTCGGAACTACATCCACACACAGCTGTTTGTCACCTTCATCCTCAAGGCCAGTGCTGTGTTCCTGAAGGATGCTGCCATTTTCCAGGGGGATAGCATGGACCACTGCAGCTTGTCCACTGTAAAGGCTATGGCTGGAGGGAGTTGGGGCTGGGGGAAAGAGAGCAGGAGACAGGCCTGAATGTGCCTGACCTGTTGTCACACAGGTTGACGCTATATTTGTGGCCATGGACAAATGAAGGAAGTCTCAAATGTTCCCTACACATTCATAGATCACAGTGTCGATTTGAGCTGCTGCTCCCTGTTGCCAGGGCCATCTGACAGCCATTATTTCTCTTTCATTCAAGCACTTGTTTCAAGTTGGTCACAGAGGGTCCTGTGCCCAGCCAGCCATTTCATTGCCTTTGATGGGTATGCAAGGACTTGGGTGGAGGTTGGCCCCTCCTTCCAGAAGCACCTAGGGGACAGGAAGCATCCAGACTTGGGGCCACTGGGTAGGGAAAGCTGAGAACGAAGAGAACAAAAGGGCTTCAGGGGGTAGGTGGCCTTGGGGTTGCATCAGCACAATAGTAGAGACAGAAAAGACCCTCTCTATGACAGAAGAGTCTGGGGCAGAGCCCCCAAATGGGAAGTCACAGGAAGTCCTAAGTCTTAAGTGGAGGGGTGGGGAAAGGAGAAGCGAGGAACAGATTGAAAACTGAAGGGGTCAGAGTTCAAGGGTTTTGAAAGTGTTCTAGAAATGAATAGACAAGTGATTGCCCAGACAAACAAGTGGCCTGACTTAATTAATGAATTAATCACTGAATACAACTGTGCACTTACTTAGCCTGGGCAGCACACCAAGTACTTTACATGTATTATCTTCTTTGATCTTAAAATGCCTCGAAAGCCTCACTTTAATCTTATTTTGGTAACAAGGGGGCAGCTGGCCAGGTCACCCAGCCACACAGTTGGGGAATAGATAGAGCTTGGGCAGCTAGGCCCAGAGGTAGGTGAGGGAGGAGCAAGGCAGCTGGCTACATGTATGATGGGAACATCCTATATTCACAGATCTAAGCTGTGCATGGATAAGCAGTCCATGGTTATCATTTGAAAGGAGGACTTCAGTTTAGGAATGTCACATGACAGAGGAAATAGTTCAGTTTTCAGTGACCCTGAGTAAGGCCATGAGAGGCCATGAGTTCTTCCTGGAGTTCTTCCTTTCCCAGATATGCTGAGGCTGAGATGGTATGCATGGCTGACAGAGGGCACAGTGAACCCAGTCTGTCTGTCTGTGCTCTGATCATCACAGTTATACTGTTATATTCCGCCTGGGGCAGCCCAAGGAGTGGAGTGGTCCAGCCCAAGGTGGAGGGGACCTGAGGGTTTGGTGTTTCAATTGGGGTGAAAGAGACCCAAAGGGGGTTGAAGTGGGAGTCCAAGTGCTGAAGCATCAGGTTCCTGCTCTCAGATCCTGTGCAAGGTCTCTGTGGCCATCTCCCATTTTGCCACCATGACCAACTTCAGCTGGCTGCTGGCAGAAGCTGTCTACCTGAGCTGCCTGTTGGCCTCCACATCCCCCAGGTCCAAACCAGCTTTCTGGTGGCTGGTTCTTGCCGGCTGGGGTGAGCATCAAGGGCTCATTGACCGCCGTAGGGGAGGTGGAGGCTGGGAAGACCTTGGGAGAGCATAAAGAGGCATTGTGGGTAACTCCGGGGCCCAGGTAGGGACAGTCCACAGTCCTGTACTGAGAGCACTGGGAAGTAGACCAGATCCCCTCAGGCGGTTACCTGTCCCCACCATTACACTCTGCACGTGCCTAACAGATTGGTGGGAGGTGGAGGCTAAGGATGCAGAGCCCTCCCTCATCCCTGTGTTGTCTCACCCACAGGGCTCCCCGTGCTATGCACTGGTACGTGGGTGGGCTGCAAACTGGCTTTCGAGGATACTGCGTGAGTAAAGCAACTTCCCCACCCCCATGTTGTCAGCAACGCATATAGTAGGGCATCCAAGGAGGAGGAGGAGAAGAAGAAGGAGGAGGAGGAGGAGGGAGTCCCTGGCTTAGACTGTTGCAGGTGGGCACGCTGCTGGTAGCACAGAGGGGGCAGGATCTCAGGCAAGAGAAGCTGTCAGAGCTATGTATCTCAGAAGACCAGCTCTGAGCAGACCTTCTACAGGAAGAAAAATGTCTGGATAAGGACAAGAAAGGCCAGCCAGCCTTCGCTGGGGTTCTCCTTTGGACAGGCTGAGAGAGAAGATCAGGCCAGAGGGAGACAGAAGGAGGCTGGAGGCTTGAGCACTAGATGGGAGAAGGGCCCAGGAACACCTTCAAGCCCAGGCTGTCTTCTTCCCAGGTGCTGGGACCTAGACGACACCTCCCCCTACTGGTGGATCATCAAAGGGCCCATAGTGCTCTCTGTTGGGGTCAGTCTCTGAGGCCAGCTTCCTTTGCTTTATTCACCCAGCTTCCAGGTTTCTTTGTGTGGCCCTGCAGGGTGGCAACATGACTACCCAGAAGGGAATTGGGAAACTGGTGACTAGCTTCTCTGGCAGCCCCTCTGGCAGCCACAGTTCCCGGTTGGTCATGTCAGCACCTAGACCAGTTTTCTAGTTTCCATGTGCCTGGCTTGCAGAACATCTCTTGCTGGGGTGGTAAGTGGGAGTGGATGGCACCTACAGGTGAGCACTCAGCTGCTCCTGCTCCTGCTGATGTGGCTTGGCAGCCGTGGCTGTGTGCTGTCTCCCCAGCAGAGAAACTACACAGTGATGGACATCCACTTTGTACCCGAGTGACCCTGGTCACTCGGTGGCTGGAGACAGGTGGCCAGGCCTGACCCTCATCCTTTCTACAAGGGCTGAAGAGGGAGGGGAGCCCTCAGTCTTCCTCTGCCCTGCATCTCACGGGTTTGGGGTTCCTAGCCACCAAAGGGGCTGGGGCCAATCCTAGGCCACCTAGTGCTGCCTCTAATCTTTGCATCCACTTCCCTGTGCCTCATTTTCAGGTCAACTTTGGGCTGTTTCTCAATATAATTTGCATCCTGCTGAGGAAACTGGAGCCTGTACAGGGTGGTCTTCACACACGGGCTCAATACTGGTACCATGAATGTGTGTGTGTGTGTGTGTGTGTGTGTGTTTGTGTTATATTTGGGAACCCTCATGGAAGGCATTTGGAAGAAAATACATTTGTTTATGTTTCATCTGGTAGCTGTTTATTGCCCTGGTACTGTCCTTTTTCCTATATCCCTAGAGAGAGAACAGATCTGGCCCCTGGCTCCCAAGAGATCATAGTACAGGAAAGTAGGACACAAAACTGCCAGTTACCATGGCAAATGGTTGACATGGCAGACACATGCTGCATCTGTTTCTATGGGTACTGGAGAAGGAGATTGTGTCTAGATGGGAGGAAAGGGCAATCAGAGAAGGCTTCCTGAAAGAACTCGACTTTGAAATATGTATGTAGACTCTGGAGCAGCCAGTATAACTGCACAGCCATTACAGTGTGATGGACCTAAAAGCAGAAAAGCCCAGATATTAGTGGGGAGGACAGATTCTCTAGGGTGGATGATGGTGGGCACCCTTAGAGTCTAGAATTTGTCTTCCACAAGGCGGCTTTCCAAGTCAACACTTCTCCTTATCCCGCTGTTTGGAATTCATTACATCATCTTCAACTTCCTGCCTGACAGTGCTGGCCTTAGCATCCGTCTACCCCTGGAGCTGGGACTGGGGTCCTTCCAGGTGAGACCCCCCTACAGGCACTCCTTTCTTCCAAGGACTATGGCAACAGGCCTTGACTAATTTCATGTTAAGTTGAGATCTATTCTTCGGTCTGTTCAATTATTCATCCATCTGTTCAACCTCCATTTACCCTTCATTTCTCTACCCATCCAATTACCCATACATTCATCTATGCATTCCCCAGATATTTATGCAGCCATGTACCTATCCATCCAGTTACTCATCCATCCACCACTCATTATCTGTTAATCAATTCTGTTAGCCTTTCTTTCTTCCAACTATCCCACCTACCTACCCATTTGTTCACTTATCCATTCATCATTTATTATCCATCCATCAATTCTTCTTTTCTTCCTCTCTCTCACTCATCCATACATTATTTGTTATCAATCAATTGATCAATTGATTCATTTACCAACCCACCTATCCATCTTTCTATTCTTCTTACACCTATTCATTCATCTTTTTTCTTCTTTTTCCTTCCTTCTTCCATCTATTCCACTCACTCATGCATCATTTCGTCCACCCTTTACCTATTATCCATCCACCCATCTATTGATTGCTCTCCCCATCCATCCATCCATCCATCCATCCATCCATCCATCCATCCATCCATCATCCATCTTGTCTATTCATCCGTGCCATTCAGGCTCCATTTCCCCTGCCCTTCCTGGTGCAGTCCACCAGTGACCATGACCAGTGGATCCTGAGGGGAAGAAGTGGGAAGCAGGAATGGCCAGGGGTGATGGACACCTCAGGCAGCAAGTGAGGGATGAGCATTGAGAGTGACATTGAGTGTGACAAGAACAGGAGGTAGGCATCATTGACCAGTTTGTTTAATTGTGGGGGGGGGAACAGACTATTTAAATCTTTGGGGAGTATATAGAGGCTTTTGGGGTAAGTGCACATCATTCGTAGGGGCTAGGGTGCTGAGAATTCCTTATTTGCATGAAGAGGAATTCCAGGTTCTTGCTGGTCATGACCTTATAAGGAGAGGGGAAGTTTGACTTGGCTGCAACTACCTGCCCCCTTCTGGTGTGGGCAAAGGTGTGAGGCACAGGACCATGTGCACCAGGACATGCACAGGGTGGGGGGGTGTTGGTCCTCACTCCTATCACTCTTACTATGAGATTTTTGGAGTTGGACTTGACTCAACGTCACTCCTGCTCCAGACCGGCTCCTTCCAGTTGCACAGTACTCTGAGCCCACATCCATTCTTATTTTCATCCATCTGCCCATCCATCCATCCATCCATCCATCCATCCATCCATCCATCCACCCACCCACCCATTTATTTACCATCTTATTTTTCAGTTCTTATCGAGTACCTGTCATGTATCAGGCAATGTGCTCAATAATGCAGATACAAAGATACACAGTGAGGTGGGGCTGTCTATACAGACATGGAAGGCATGCCATGATGATTCCATGGGTTGGCATATCTGATGCACAGTGAGGGATGAGTGAGGGAGAAGACAATAGAAAGACTGTCACATTCCAAAGTCATGCCAAAGTGTTCTGATGGACTCCTTCCTTTCTCTTTGACCCCCAGGGTTTCATTGTTGCAATCCTCTACTGCTTCCTCAACCAAGAGGTATGTGTACTCCTAATGGCTCACCTTAACTCAACAAGTACAACTTGTCCTCAGTCTCCTTTTCTTATGCCCTGCTCCTGTAAATTCCAGCTAGGTTGACTCCTATGATCCTCCACTCTTATGATCTTTTGTGGGAGCATGTCCTGAGCCCATGGGTCAAGTTTAACCTGAATACTTTCTGAACACCTTGCAAACACCTGCACTGGGCTAGGTTCTACTACTAACTCATGAGATGGAGAAGGTCTTTCAGGTGTCAAGGAAGGATAGAGGACAGAGCAGATCAGTTGAGGGGGCAGAGTGAAAGGACAGAGACAGGAACCAAAAAAGTCAGAGGTCCATATAGAAGGAACTGGAAAGAAGAGTCAGCTGCAGAGATGGGAAGAGCCAGAGTAGAACAGGAAACAGAAAAACCGTGGAAGTAAGGGGCTCTGAGACCAGGATGCCAGAAGTGGAGGCAGAGCTGAAGAAAGCAGACAGAACAGAGGCCATGGCACATGTGGAACTGCAGAGACGGGCAGAGGAGACGAGACAGTCATCCAGAACACCCTGTGGGTTATTTTTTTTAAACCAACATCCTACTGTGCAGAGATGGGGAGAATTTTTCAGAGTCCAGATCCCCAGGATTCTGGCCTTAAGCACAACCAGGGTCAGAGCTCCTCCCAAAGGCCCAGTGTTTGCTATGGGCTCTGTGGTTAGCAGAGACCTGGCTGATTCCTGTCCTATTTCTCTATTAAAAAATTATTTTTTCTTCTTCTTCCCTCTTTTCCTCCTTCCTTCTACCTCCCCATCCATTTATCTTTCTATACATCTGTCCACCATCCTGCCTTACTTGACAGCTCTGTCCCCGGCTGACCTCTCCCTTTCTTACTCTCAGTGTACCCAACCCTGTCTCTGCGCCTTGCTCAGCTGTATCTAGTATGTGAACATAAGACCTTAGTATCTGAGTATAGCAGTCCCAAGAGCCCTGGGAACCGTGGAAAAGGGCAGGGCAAGAAGCAGCCCCACTGAGGTGAGTTGGGTCTGGGATAGGAGTTCACACGGAAAGTAAATTGAGAGGGACTCTTTTACTAAGCAAAGTTGGACATGAGCTGATGTTTGGTGACAGGAAACTCACTTTCAACTTCTACTTTTCAAACAGTTGTGGGAAGGTCTTTGTTCTAAATGAAAAATAGCTTCCTCTTTAGCTTTTATACAGCCCCAGGTTAGCTATCAGGCAGAATATCTCTTAGCTCCCTCTGTCCCTCAGCCACATAAGGATATAGACTGCCCCACTCCCCTTCTCAGCTTTCTCCCTTCTGTCTATCCACTGGCTATCCAAGGCTAAGGCAAGGGTGGGTCAAAGGCACTCAGCAAGCACTACCTGGTGACTGGGTCAGGAGGCACAGAGGGCACCCATGTGTTTGCCTGGCCTCAGACACAGGCAGTGCTAAAAGGAAAAGTATTAAAAGCAAGGGCCAGAAACTATCCAAGGAAGAAGGGAATAGTGACTACTTGGAGGGCCGTGACCAGGCTTTCCTTGCCTGCCTTCCCTGTTTTCTCCTACATTACGTACCTCTGTGACGTTAGTCTCCTGCAGCTGCTCTGGAGAGTGACTGTGAGATCTTCCTAACATTCTCTCCCTTGTCTGTGGAGGTGAGGACGGAGATTTCACGCAAATGGTATGGCCACGATCCTGAACTTCTGCCAGCTCGGCGGACATGCTCTGAGTGGACCACACCTCCCCGATCAAGAGTGAAGGTGCTGACCTCTGAGTGCTAGGCCAGCCATCACCAGGGACCAAGACCCAAACTGTGCACTCAAATGGCCGTGCCACCATGGGCAGTATGGTCCTCCCTCCCATTCTCTGCTTTGGCTTTCTCTAGGTCCCTGTATATCAACCTCTGACTTTCTCAGTTCTTGTTATCTGCCTCCATCTGTTCTTTCTTCCCATCTAGGGCTATTGCCCAAGGCCCAGAGAAACCAATAAACTTGTACATGAGTGATCCATGGCTGAGTCAATGTGGCTCTGAAGGGGAGCTCTTGTCAGCAGCCATTATTTGAGCTTCCGGTGCATTCCTCATTCCTTGGCTCCAGCTGCCTTAATGCCATTTGTCTTTATAATAATTCTCATGTTTTATTTATTTTTTTTTAAGCACTCTCTTTTGTCCCAACCCCGGCTCCCCTTCCTTCTTCCCACAGGCAAAGATGTGAATCTTTGCATTTCCGTGTCTGCAAACGTGGGGTGTGCCTTGTGTGTATTTGAATTTAAATAAATGCTATCTGTTATGTGTCTCATCCTGCCACTAATGTTTTCCCCGAGCACCACTCTTTTAAGAGATCCACTGCATTGCTGAGTGTACATCTGGTCCCCTATTTTGATTACACCAGGCCACCTGACACCGTTGCCCGTGGGCTGCCCAGCCCCCTTCCCTCTAGGTGAGCACCCATCTGCTTGTTCTTCCAAGTGTAAGACAAGTCTCTCTCTGGAACTCATACCAGGAAGAGAGTCCTGGGGCATTAGGGCCCTGGGGCATCAGTTATACCTCACTTTGAGATGATTCAGTAGTGCCAGACTGCGCTTGCGAATTAGCAGCCTAACAGCCCTTCCTTGTACCTCCGAGAGTGCTGCTTGGCATTCTCCTTCCTTTTAATGTTTACAAGCTAAACGGGTGTAAAGTGGCAGCACTCTGTTGGTCCCTTTTCCCTAGGGTCAAGCAAGTGTGAACAGCTCTTCTTGTCTGTTAGCCTTCTGGGCTTGTTCTGGAAATTGCTGGTATCTCTGCCCTTTTGTTTTGTTTTGATTTTGTTTCGTTCCTGATGGGGCACAGAGTCCTTAGTTCTATCCATATCGCTCTCATTTGTCCTTCTATTTGTGTCCCGAGTTAGCTACTTTTTTCATCACCTTGAATAAAAATATTCTGGTAAGAAGCAACTTAAGGGAAAGAGAATTTATTTTAGCTCACAGTTTGGGAGGGTATATAGTTCAACGTGGCAGGAAAAGTAGTGGTTGGGAGAAAAGGTCAGACCTGGGGCAGCAGGATTTTGAGACAGTTGGTTTCACTGCATCAGTGATCAGGAAGGTGGGAGCTCTGGCCAGAACCAAAATCAGTCAAGGATGTACCCCATAATGCTCATTCTCTAGTAACCCACCTCTCTCACCAAGGCCTCATGCTGAAGTTTTATAGTCTCTCGGCACAGTGCTATCTAGGGACCAAGTGTTCAAACATATGAGCTTATGGGGAACATTTCCCATTCAAACACTAAAGTATGCCCTTTCATATCCGAGCCTGCTGCCATCTGCCTCCACTCAATGCAGGCTCCCTTCATGCCACACATTCTCACCCTCCATCATCTTCCACCTTTCTTCTTGGCAGGAGGAAGGAGACAGAAAGCAGGCACTGTTTTCAGGACCCATTTGCTGACTGATGGGGTGGAGGGTTTCAGTAGGACGGGAAGAAGTGCACGTGGTGTTAGGTCAGCATACCACCTGTCTTCTACTTGGTCTACCACAGCAGCCATACTCTGCAGAGCCCAGCTCTACCCTAGCAGGAAGCCTTGCCCCACTATACAGCCCTCCCCATCTCTTTCTCCTGCTGCCCTAAGAACTCGGGTCTCCCCTTCTATATAGTCCTTTCTTGCCTGCTTCGGCTGATGGCCAGGGCTAGTTCCCTTCTTCCAAGCTTTGCTTGTGGCTCTGGGATGCCCTATAATCCTGTGCAGTAGAAAAAATCTGACCATCCTGCAAGACCAATTTTCCTAGCCAGGCTTCCTTTCCTGTGTAACTGAGAATGGAAAGGCTAGCTTGTTGGCATGCAGGTGTGTCTAATGGAGGAGAATGACATTTTCCTCTCACATTCAGGAGGGCTCCTGAGTGGGGTGCAGTTGTATGAAGCATACGATGTCCTACTACAGGGCTTCTGCCTTGGCAGGTGGCAAGCAAATGTCGCAATCAGTGTAGTCCTGTCCGAAAGCCACTATACATTCCTGCCTTTAGTCTAAGATCACAGTAAGTAACTGGCAATCATTATCACCATTTGGGGCACACAGAGGGATTCCAAATGAAATTAAAAAAACAGCTATATTCATACAAAAAGACATACATCTTAAGTTTTGTTTCCTGAAAGTTTTTTTTCTCTGAATTTTCAGAAACATCTTGATGTCATAATACATTTGTCAGTTTGATTCTTGTCCTTATGCTTAAAAATAATATTCAAAGACAATAAAGCACAAGGAAGGATAAGAACAGTATCAATAGTCATTAGGAAAATGCACATAAATTACTACTGAGATACAGTCACACCTAGGACAATGGGAGCAAAGAAAATACCAGACAGTAACAAATGTTGATAAGGATATGGAGAGACTGGAACTCACACATTACTGGTGAGAGTGTGAAATGGCCTGTTTGAGAAAATGTTTTCCAGTTCCTCAAATAAATGTTAAACTTGAGCTAGCTAGTTAATGTACTCCTAAAGTATGAATCAGAAGAACTGGAAACATGCACAGAAAAAAAAAAAAGCTTTTATATGAATGCTTCTAACCTCATTATGAATACAGTTAGAATGCTCTCTGACTGATGAATTTCAGTATATGCCTACAGTGGGATGTTAATTCTGTTACCAAGAACCCCTACATACAGGGACCCATATGACACTGCTCCATGAGAGAAATGAGTCGTAGCACTTCCATTTGCAAAAAATGTCTAGCATTGTTTAAGTAGATGGAAGGCTGTTGGAGCTGAGGGAAAGACCTGGGGATGACTTTTAAGGGCTGCAAATTCCTTTCAAAGTGACAGAGATTCTGAAATTAGAAGCAATGGCTATGAGTATACAGAAAAATCAGAATAGTACACTGTAGAAGGATGATTTTCTTTTCAGTTTCTGTATTATATCTCAATACAACCATTACCTAAAAATGATTAGTTTGGTGAGATGGCTCAGCAGGCCAAGGCCCTTACCTCACAAGTCTGGTGAGCCGTGGTCTATCCCTGGCATCTATGGTGAGATGAAAGGAGAGAACTGATTGAAGGTAGGTTGTTCTCTCCTGACACGTGTGGTGTCACGGCACTTGTGTTCCATCCTCGGGCACGTTAGAGCAGTGGTTAGTGGATGTTGCTGCAGGTTGTTTGCTGACTTTTTTCTTCTGCCATGAAGTTTGCAAAGGCTCTGTGATGCCCCTTACTTAGCTGATGGTTATTGATGAACTTGCCTTTGGTAAAGCCTCCTCCTCCTTTCCTTCTCCTCCTCCTTCTTTGTGATCTTCTATTTTCCCTCTTCTTCTTCCTCTTCTACCTTTTCTGTCTTCTTCATTGTTCTTCCTCTACTCCTTCCTCTTGTTTTTTAAGCAAATGGCTGTGGTGACAAATTCTTTGCATTAAATTCTTCAAGAACATTAAAAAAGGGGGAGGATTTAGAATGAACAGAGATTTTCAGAGTCAACTCTGCTAGGCCTACAATTCTTACACCAATGTAGACTTCTCCTTGGAAAAGCTGATCTAGCGCATTTTTGTGACAGCAAGATAGATTTTCTGCACTGTTTCCTTTCACTAACACCCTGACTGGTACTGGCACTGTTGGTAGAGTTATTATAGCGGTACTGGTTAATGGTTAGTGTTAGCTCGGTTAGTGTTAATGTTAGTGGTTAATTAGTGGTGAGTGGCTAGTTAGTGTTAGCAGTTAGAGTCTAGTGTCTAGAGTCTAATGTCAGTGCTGAGTGTTAATGGTTAATGGGAAGTTGGTTGCTATTTAATAGTTCGTGGCAGTAAATGCTAGCTAGTGGATAGTAGTATTTACATAATGAAGCTTGTGCTGTCAGCTGTGGTGGAAACACTGGCTTTGGGAATTATGCATCTGCCTCTATGGGTTTTATTGTGGTTACTTCTTCCAGTTTTATTCTGCACTTCAAAGCCCTACCACCTTTTTAATTTACTCTATGACAGGACACTGTAGACTTAGACTATGCACATGTGAGTTCATGCCAAACATCTTGACTGGCAAACTTTCTCTTTCTCTGAGCCTTGGTTTTCTCTCTCTGGCAGGAGAGGTTGGCTAGAAGGTGATGTCTAAGGGTTTTCAGGGGGGCACTAGATGGGCTAGTTACAGTTCCATGGTGGAACCGTTTTTCTGGAAAGGAAACTGAGTGGGAGGGAAAAAAAAAGCAATGTTCATCCTGGCCACCAGGTGGCATATGAACTGTGGCCAAGATAGGGGACTGGGCAATCCCTGGAGGAGGCCCTGATCTGGAGAGGGACAGAGGGCTCCCAGGAGCTGGCTTGGGGCTCAGCAAGTCTAAAAGGCTGGTGGAAGAAGAAGCTGCTAGGCAAGGGAGGGAAGGTCCTGGAAGAAGAGCAGGGTTATCTGAAACCAAGCTTTGCTGAGTAAGAAGTATACATGGAGATGGGGCGGGGGGGGGGGAGAGAAAGAGAGAGCGACAGACAGACAGACAGAGTGACAGAGAGACACACAGAAAGAGACAGAGAGGCAAAAAGAGGAAAGAAGACTCCCTAGAGACAGGAGAATCAGTGTCCCACCAGAGACCCCACTATGGTGGGGTGGTCTCTGTGAAAGGGTCAGGCTAAAGGAGTTTCCTGGGGCCCTGGCTTTTTTTTTTTTTTTTTGGTGAAAAGCCTTTTTCCATTTTCGAATTCATGTGTTTCTTTCAGCACCTTTTTTCAGGTCCTGAGAGGACTTTTGCAAGGAGACAGGAAGAAAGGAAGGATGGAAAGGAAGAAGGAAGAAAGGAAGGAAGGGACTTTCCTTCATGCTTGAGCTCCTCCACTCAGGAATATGTAAAGAGCCTCAAGATTGAGCCTGGGTTTGTGTGTTAGAGCAGCCATTTTGGATGTGGATGGCTAGGGCAGAGGGGGTGTGTGAAGGCAGGAATGGCTAGGGCAGAGGGGGTGGGTGAAATGGCTAGAGAATGACTCTGGGACCAGGAGCTTGGCTGGCTATATCTT